TCACTGGTAGATGGGGTTGTATCGCCTGTGATTTCATTGGCGAAATTTTCTGATGACAGCATCGCAATTGGAGAGACTGTGAGCATTGACCTAACCAATGAAGAAAAGTAGAAAACTTTAGCTTCCTCAATACTAAACTAATCCATCCTCACTCTCCAACTCCTCCAAACCCCCGTCCCCCACCCAACCCAGCCCGGGCAACACAAAAAAGTTCCAAAACGAATATTTAGGACCTTCCTTAACCCAAAATTTAGCTAACATCAAAGGAACGGCTAGTTAGAATTCCAACAAAATTCGTAATAGTAGGTTATCTAATGAAATGATAAAAATATCATTTAAATTGAAGGCCAGAAAGGCCATATAAAAAATAAAGCAAGACACTAGTCAATGTTGAGGTATGCAGTATTAATAACAATAGAAGTTTTTCTCTTATTTAACAACAGCAGTGTGTTTAAATCCAACAATAAAACATTACATAAAGATATCTCAAGGCAGAGCCTTATACATCCATGGCATGTTTGATAAATTGGATTAGATTGTACTCAGCATTATTAGATAAGAAAACGAAATTAAAATATTTTCAATTATACTGTCTATTATTATTCAATACTGACTGGTATAATAGACACAAGGGAGAATTTTATTTTTAATTCCATCTGAAGGTAATGATCCAGTTGCGTTTAAGTCATAGTCGGGTTCACCTAACTTATTACCATTATATCCTAGTTAAGCATGAGATTACATGAGATTTCCAATTGGATGTTGCCACAGATGATAATTTTTTTATGGATGAACAATAAATGAAATAAAGATGCACACAAGTATAACTAAATCCGAACATATGGAACACATTTAGTTATATTATTAGCTTAAATATTGAAGTAGTTAAAAAAGGCTAGATATACTTCATCGGTCAGGGTTAACAATTCACAGAAACAATAATGCAAACGTTTGGTGCATTAGATGAGGACCTTAGTCTTTTTGAAAAGTTCAAGTAATGTGAAATGAGGAAACTCATGCTTTCTATCCAAGTTAAGCTATTACACATCAATGGATTCAAAAGTAACACACAATTACACATCAATGGATCCAAAAGTAACAAGTGTAAGAGGAAGAAATTATTAACGGAGGATGAGTGACGGAGGTGGCCAATACTAGGAACTGGCAAATATATGAAACGGATCTTGAACCATATTCAGTAAAGATCTTTTAATTGCACCAGTGAGAAGTGGTGGTAGAGTAACTATAGGGGATACAAACTAGAATGAGATATAGAAATAAAGACCTCAGCAAAAAAATATGGCTAAAAAAGATTAGCAATGAGACAAGATTAACATTCTCAATTTCCTTGACAAGTTTACTTTCCATGAAGAAGAGGACCCATATAACTGACCCTAGATAAGCACGAGATAAGTCTTTTTGAGTCAATTGAAATTTAGGGCTAATTCAATTACAACAAACAAGGATATCCTTTAAGCACTATGGTTTGAAATCAGTTCAGTACTTGCACTTAATAAAAATTAAAAATTAAAATTAAAATTAAAATTAAAATAAAAAATCAAATGAACATGAGTATAAGTACTACCTTTCTAGCAACTCATCCTCACATGAATTTCCAGAAGAAGAAAGCCAATCTAAGTCAACAAAGTTGGAGCTGTCAATCGAGTCCCCATTCTCATGTTCGAGGCATCTGACTCTGTGCATTTCAGCAAAAAGAACCCTAGCAGGTATTGAAGGACCATATCTACAAAAAAAGATAAAAATAAAAAATTGCCAAGGCAGATTAGCCGGAGGTATTTATTTTTCTTAAATAGACTCCTTTGGCAAACAAATTCAATATATTAAACAGAATAATTGCATATCCAAATATATATAAAATTTATGAACCAGTCATGGAAAATAACATCAATCTAATATTTCAGATTAAGATACTCTGTTGACGCAGCCAGTATCAAGTTCTCATCCAATAAAGTAAGAAGAATATTTGCTTAAAGTGATCATCATTCGTTGGATGAACTGCTTATTCAAAGGCAAAAACTTCACCTCTTGCTTCCACTTCACAAAATCCATATATTGTAAATTAAAGTGCAAGGAAAATGAAGTTATAACTTACAAATATACAAACAGTGGAATAGGCTCAAAACCTTCAAATTATTTGATAGAGACAATGTTTGAGAATCATGATCGCATGATACTCATCATCTCACATTTATTAATAAAAGATGCTCATCTTCCGTGAAAACGAAGAAAGAGCCAGCCATGTCTGTTTGAGAAATCAGATAGTGGAATTGAGTTCATGATCCAAAATTGAGATTATATAAAACTGATCTGGTCAAGATAAATGCAATAGCCATAATATACATTGCCTTTATGAATGAATTTCCTTTTACCAAATTACATTAAATGATGGCCAGTGTAAGAGTTAAATATCACTCTCAAACATAAAGCAAAAGTAACAAGTATATCTTCAACTTCTAACTTCTAACCAACATAAAGTATCAGGTCTATAATCCTTGGTCAAAGTCAACAAACTTGACATGTTTGATTATGATTTTGATTCGACACACAGCCTAGAAAACATCAAATAGAAAAATTGTGTATCCCAATGGACGGAGCTGTAAACAGAACCCCCATAATCACCTTGCGGTGTGGTGGAGAAGGCAGGTGGAGGTAAACATGGAAGAAAATTTGGTGGAGGAAAGGTACATGTATAATCCATCTATCTACCATTTAATGCCACAGGACCAAAAGGAAACAGGTGTATTTTAGTGGAAAATAATAACTATCATTTCAGTATAATCCCTCCAAACAAAGAAAAGAGATATAAGTATTAACGCATTGCAAAAATATAAAGTGGCAGTTCAGCCTTGTAAAAAGGTAAAATAGGTTGTATGGTCACAGAAGATGGGAAGGAAAGCACCTTGAATCTGTTAAATCACTTTCGCAAGTTGCTATTTCTGGCGATGACTCAGAAAGCATTTTGCTTCCTTCTTTTGACTTGCTAGTTAAGTCAGAACTCGGAAAACCCTTATTGATGTATGAGGTGGACCTGGGCGAGCGACTTTCACGAAGAATGTTCCCATCTGACAATGACCTTTTATATAATGACCTAAACATGCGAAACAAGAGAGTAAAATTTAGCAGAACTTACAGAAGTGCAAGACCGCATAATATCATAGAGAAGTTAACAAATACTCTTAAGTTTCCCCTCAATAACGATGCAGGAAGTACATCTTGAATGACTAATAAGTAATCATCCCATTTCAGCCTGATGTGAATATATCTAAGGAACCTATGTGAATTTTTAATCCATAGAACAAACTAAAAGTTGAGAGAACAGAAGGAAGATCAAAGTCCTTGGAACAAGCACCCACGAACAATTAGGTGAATTTCCCAGATGATAAAAAAGAAGCATTAAAAAACATGTAACTCAATACCACCTTACCTTCCGTTTTCATCAATATTTGACTGTCCATTCCTTCCAACATTGGAATGCTGGTCAGAATCCAGCTCCCATACATCAGCTTTACCTGGTTGAGGTTGAAAATGCCCCAAAAACCTGCTCACATATTATCAAATGAACTGTTAGTTCAAGTGAATACATCATTCCATCATCAGAAAAAAATAACTAGAGGTAGTCCAAAAAAATTAACAAACATCTTCAAAAAGGAAGAGATATTAACAATCTCTCAAAGCTAGTGAAGCATGTCAAGAATGGGATAAAGTATGTGCCGCGCACAGAAAATGGGATGGAGATAACGATAGGAAGAGATATTAACAATCTCTCAAAGCTAGTGAAGCATGTCAAGAACGGGATAAAGTATGTGCCGCGCATAGAAAATGGGATGGAGATAACAATAGGACTTAGATAGGATTTTAAAAGTTGAGTTTCATTCAAATTATGTTTGTCTAGATTAGTTTTAATAATTCGATAAAGTTTTAGTTTATTAGATATTCTTTTGATTTTAACTTCCTTGCTCTGTATAAAGGGAGCTTATTCACTATAATAGATTCTCCTTGAGTATATGAAATAAATTGATTTTCACTTTCCCTAAATTATTCTCTTCTTTGGATCGCCTTCTCTTTCTCATTATTTTTCTTCTTCAATTGTTCGCTGTCAAATTGTTAGGTTTCTGCACCAAAATGTCCAATGTTATCC